CTAAAGCCGTGGCTGCACGTGGTGCCATCTGATGGTCACTGAGGGGCTTCTGCTTCTCACTGACCCCTGGCATTTACAGCATTTGCTTTGGGAACTCTGGCACACCACCACTGCTGTGGTCTCCTTCAGTTTTTCTGCTAATATGCTTTAAACAGGCAGTGTGCAGAGAGGTTTACCAGCTAAAAGGTGGAATTCACAAGTACCTAGAAGAGTTTCCAGATGGATTCTACAGGGGGAAGCTGTTTGTATTTGATGATCGTTACGCCATTTGTTCCAATGAAGATATCATCTCAGGTAGGACTAGATAATGTAAGTGCAGAAGGCTGGGAAGCTATTGCAATCATTTCCAGAGGTGTGCAGGGTAGGGACAGGCAAACTGGCCTGTGTAGTTCTTCCTCATACTTGGTTTGATCTCGTAGTGCTGTCACTTCTCCTGATGACTGCCAGCACTAGATGTAAACATGTACGTGTGCTTTATATGTGCTTTAACATGTGAAACAGGAACGAGAGGAAAAGGGGTCACTAACAAGAGTTCACTAAAACTGGAGCAGTAGAAGGAAGTATCCCCTGCAGAGCAGCTCTGTTATGAGCCATCTGCACCTATGGAGACAGATGTCCAGCACTACAGCCATTGTTACCACCTGGTTGACCACAGTGCTGACTAGACTGTGGTTGGGCAAGTGACCAAAGTCTTGAATAGTTCTCCTGCTACCAGCAGCCCTCTGCTTCAGCAGTCTCATAGAATATCAACAAAGGCTTCCAGGTATTGGGAGAGTAGTGGCACCTATGCTCTATAGCAATTTGTTATTTTCATGTTTAAGAAATTCTATATCCATGCAATTTCAGTGGCCTCTAGTTGAAGCTGTTGAAACCATTCCCTGATCTTCTGGCTGGGATTGCTTTTCAATTACTGCAAATGAAGTAATCTCTTATTTTGCTATCAGTTGCCAGATACAAGTAGCTGGAATTTGGCTCCAGCCCCTTTTTTTAAGGAAGCGGTGCTGGTTTTTTTTCTGAGTTGGTAACTTTTCGAGCCTTACTCCCATTCCTCCCCTGCATTTACTCTATACATCTTGAAGGGGCCTGACTTGGTATGGAAACAGAACATACTCTGGATACATCACAGCCATCCCTACGGAAGTTTCAAGGGGAAGTGCTGTGATATGCACCTTCTTGGTACAGCTAAAACTGGGCTGTAGCTTTCAGTTAAAGAGTTAAAACCCATAATGTTCTGGAAGGACTCTACCAGGACTGCAAATGGCACCCTGCCTGCACAAACCATTATTTATAGATGGAAGGAAGTTCCATGGCATCCCCTTCCTCTGCAGGTGACATTCCTGCATACTGGCTTAGTTGCCACCTGCATGTCTTTCTTCTTCTCTTGTCTTAGTAAGAATCTCTATATCTGTCTATTCAGAACTAGAGAAAGCACTAGTGAGCAACTCCCTTCTTTTCCAGAGGGAAAGCAGTCTTAAGTGTGTCAAAAAAGATGTTCTAAACTGAACTAGATTCTAGAAGATCAAGCTAAACAGGAATTAAAAACCTGCAAGACTGTAGCCTCTTAAATGAGAGCTGGCAGCCCCAGGGTGCCTTGGCAAGCCCTCTGCAAGGGAGCAGCCAGAGCAGTGTGGGTGTTAACCTTTTCTTTTCCTCCTCCCTCCAGCATGCAGATACTGTGGGGTGCTGTGGGACCAGTATAAACTTTGTTCCAGTCAGCACTGCCGGCAGCTTGTCCTGACATGTCCAAGTTGTTGCAACAAAGGTCTTACAGCTTGCTGTCCTGTTTGTCAAGAGAAGGAGCTCAAGGTGACTTCAGGGGCTTCAGGACAGGTACTTAAGGAGGAATGTGAATGTACAAGGAGACGGCCAAGGGTGCCCATTGAACCTGTCTCACCAAGGATGCTGGACACAGGAAAAGATTAAGCTGTTTCACTGGTTAATGTGACACGTGCTCATGTAAAGGGCTTCTGTAACCAGATCTCTATCCATTAACCAGTTAGGTTTGGAAATTATGAAAATATGTCAGCTTGGAAAGTCTCGTTCATATGCTGCCTTTAAACATAGAATATGCCCTGAAAACCATCCATTACTTGCCCATAAATTACCAGAGTGCCCAATTCATCACCAGCACTACAGGATTCCTCTCTCTGGGTACAGTCTTGTAGTGCGGCCTTTACCATGGGGATTTTGAAGCAGAGTATCTGCAGTATGACAGAGCTGCTCACAGTTCAAAAGAAACTGAAGGAATTCAAGAACAATTCCATTTTTTCTTCCTGCATGGAGATCAACCTATCTGACCTCTCCAAGGACCATGCATCTGCTTCAGTAGCTTGTAGTAAGGTGTACAAACAGCAGATTTATCAATTTGGTGTGGGTGTGAGACCAGATTAGATCCTGAAGATAAGTCCACATGCACGCCATTGACCTGCATCTCTTGCTTTATAGCAGTGAGAATCAAGGTAAGGTTACCTGAAATTACTGGCTTAACTCCTGTAAAACTGTCTGAAGGCAGCATAAGGAGCTGGAGCAAAGGCCCAGAGACACTGTTTGCCTAGCCATACTTGTGTGACCAGTAGGATGAACAGCAAACCTAATCTTCTTTCCAGTGCTCAGTCTCCCTGGGAACTGTTTTTTCCCCTCAGCTTGTCAGTGTATGAAATAGGCAGGGCTCAGCTCTGCTTGCACTAAAAACACCTAACAGCTTGAAGCATGTTGAAACAACCACACAAAGAGGGGAGCACAGAGACTGTCAAAATACCAGCATCATGGCACTGGAAGTGATGCATGTCTGCATAAATGGCAGCAACAGCTATGAAAAGACTGCAAGATCCTTTATCCAGGTTAAATAATTAAAGTTCTGGGAAGCATTTGTGCTTTTTAAACATCAGTTGGGTTTTTTAAAAGCTGCAGGATGTTTATGCAATTTCCAGCACTTGTTCATGGAGAAATTGTCTTTGAAGGGACCTACAGCAGATGAGCTTAAAATACTGCTCCATGTGCTGTATTTTGTGCTTGATGCTGTAGAATGTACAGAAAGGATTTATTAATAGCATGGAAGATGTGTCTTGACTGAAAAATGTCTTTAAAATTTACTGTCATTCTGGGAACTAAACAGTAAGTCATAAGGATATCAGAGTCCCTAGGTTTGGGGTTTTTAAGTGGCAAATGTTTTTAAAAGCAAGAAAATAGTTTCTTAGGTTTCTGCAGTTGCTTAATGTCAGGGCTATGTTATTTTCATAGAGATTGTACCTTTCTCCCATGGTGCTATTAATTCAGCAAGGCCTCATTGTTGGCTTGACTAGCAAATTAAATACATGGGCATTGGTTCCATTAAAGCCATGACAAATATTTCTTCTTGCTTCCAGTATTGCTACCGTGAAATCAATGGTTTACCAGCTGTCCTCATAACAATTCCATTAACAAGGCAAAACCCTGGAGCTTAGGAGCTTTGGATATCTTTCTAGGATACTATTTAATAGTATACCTGTGCACAACCCATCCTTGAGAAGAAATTAGGTAATTCCCATCAGTAGGCACCTTCAGCAGGAGTCTGAGCAGTGCCCATGTCTCCCTGGCTTCCCAGTCCCTGTTGGCTGGATAACCTCTGTGGTTTTGCGGACTGGAGTATTTGTGAAGGAACATGCAAGCTCTACTTGCAGGTCTGGTCTAAAGTACTGATGGGGGAGTGCCCCATGATCTTCCTGTGTTAGGCTAAAAAGAACACAATTCTGTAATTCAGTCTATCAGCAGGTCTGGAACACTGTAATCAATTTGTAATGCTGTTTCTGTATCACTTGTTATGGCAACAACTTTATTTTGTATGTAAATTTCTGAAGCGTCTATGGTAAATAACTTCTAGTGCTTCCAATGTAATTTTTTAAGTACTGCACAAATACACTTCACGTACTATGTTGGAGGTGCTTAATTCTGCAGAGATAAACACTGAAACTAGCTAGTCTGCCACATGGTAGACCTCGCTACAAGGTACAATTCTGATAGCTCCTCGCAGCTGGAGATTCTACCTCAAAGGCACAGGGGAGCCATGAGGCCTCTCCTTGTCCTTGCTGCACTAAGGTAAGGGAGGAGAAGGATTTGAGATGTACAGATGGAGTCCCAAAAAGCCATGTTCTCTCTGCTGCAGGGAGCAGAGAAGGGGATAAGAGACTGTTTTAGCCTGCTTCTTGCAAGTTAGCCCATAAGGGGCTCTCTATCCTGTTTTCTGGGGGTTTTTTTGTCAGATTAGTACAAATAAGGACTTGGCATGTGAAAAGCTATGTGTTGGCATCCAGTGGTAATGCCTGAGAGAAGGCACATGTGCTCCAGGAGAAGGCACGTGCTCCAGGAGAGGGAAGGGTTTTCAGCAGGATGGGCTGTGACTCCCAGATGCTGAAGTCACCAGATAGCTTTTCCTCCCTTTTCCCAGGGAGCTGCTGGGCCAGATTTGCAAACAGGGATACATTTGCTCCTAAGTATCACCATTTTGTAGCTCCATTGCTGCACAGCTTACACACGGCCTGATGCCTCATCGCTGCCTGTCTCTGCTGCACCACCCTCAGCTGTCAGATGTGTCCTGCAGCAAAACAGCTCTGTGAGGATCAGCCAAAGAACCTGGGATGATCCTGACAGCTTAATAGACCTTTGGGCTGCAAGGTTAATGTGGATGCTGCTACAGTGAAACACAGGACAAAGTTCTTATCTTTTTTTTGTTAAGGGCGGTAGCAGTATCCGTGTGGTAGTGACCCTTGGTCTCTCCCTTAATGTAAGAGATTAATCTCCTTGCATGTCTGTGCTTCTCAGTACCACCAGGGCTTTCCAGGATAAGATTCATTTACCTTCAGAAACCAAGGGAAGAGCTGAGCCTGTGTCATGCAGATCAAAGTACATGGCTTAGCTGAAAGTGTGTGGCTCTAATTTGATGATTCAGTTGGTCATTTCAAAGTCTTCACAGTGCACATAGAAGGAGATAGTTTTTTAAGTCTGCCAGTTTTTTTTCATTTTAATATGTTTTCAAGCATTTTTATTCCACATTCATTTTCTGATACAGAACTTGCACAGTGGAGGAAACAAGCTATGGTGAAGGGTTTTATATGACACCACGGGCACATTTATTAAGATTTGGAGAGCAACAAGTATGTTTCCCACATTGCTGAACAGTGTTCCTCTGCTTTGCTGGTCAGAGCTAAATCATCAGCAGTGTTTGTGCACAAGCTCTGGAGAAATCTCTGGGACTTTTGCCAGAACGTATGTAAAAGGCTGAAAAACTTCACTCTCTAACAGACATTTAAAGGTAGATTTTTAGCAAGAGAGAACATTTTCTAGGATGTGTCATCTGCCCAAGATTAAGGTTTCAGTACAGCAGTGCTTCTTCCGTGGAGACTTCTTACTGAGCAGGATCCCACCCACATTAACAGTGGGAGGTTTGGATGTGCTGGGTCCAGTCTGCTGCAGGTCTGGGAGATCCACAAGCCTGTGGGGAATTCCTCCCAGGCTGAATGATGAGTGTACACTGACAGCTGTGAGATCATACGTAGTGTAAGTTCAGATTTGGGGTATTTCACTTCACAGCTTTTTTAGGGCACAGAATTTATTCTTGCATTTATGTGGACATAAGGGACAGCAGTAAGAGGAAATAACTCCTAGCAGAACAAAATTTAGTTAATGGACATGGTTATCTAGACAAAACAGCAAAGGGAGAGATTGTGACCTGTGTGCAGTATCTGGACAACCACTTTTAACACCAGGAAACTGAAAGGAGTGAGGAATAGAAGAGAAGGTTGTCATTTGCTGATTAGTTTGGCCATCTCTAAGATTGTGTTGTCTTCACATGTGCATGGGATTGAAGGATATTCACCCATCTAAACCACTTGATTTTTGAGACTGTTTTATATTTGGTGGCCTTAAATTCCATTTAGTCGGGGGTGGAGATCAGTTTTTTTGTAAGAAACACTGGGATGCATTTGACACAGCATCTCAAATGATTCAGCAAATGTTGGCAAAAATTGGAACTCACAATTCTTGAAATTAGCCATGTCTCCAGATGTTAGAAGTGCTTGTTAAACTAGTTATTCCTCTGTAGTTACTTGAGATCAACTTTGAAAAATAAAATAAAATAAAGTATTTTTTTAATACTTCTATAATTTGTGTGAAACAATTTTATCTTTCATTCATGCATACCACATTCTAACTATGAAACACCGTGCAGGAATTTTATAGAAAAATTAATCCCCTTTAACACTGGATTGTACTCTAAACTGAGGTTGCATAAAATTGACAAGTTGGCTTGAATAGTTTCCAACTCTGCAGAAAACATCAACAGTCCTACTGGATAAAATCTTCATAAAAACTACAGCCACTATTTCGTTTCAACTGTTAGTGCATTAAACAGAACAGAGGCACCACAAATACTCTGTCAAGGCACTTATTGCCTTTAGATTTCCACAGTGTAGCACAGATCACTGGGAATGACCTCCATGGCCAGGGACTACACTCCAGTTCTGCACTTGGGAAAAATAGGCCCATTCACCTCTGCAAGTCTTCTCTTCCTCACTGAAAAAGAAGAGAAAGAGGAGTCAGTCATGGCAGCGGGATAACGTGGATGGCAGGCTTGCCCTAACAGCCATAGAAAGGAGCTGAAAGATGTACTTTCTGCCGGGAAAGAAACAGGATAGCATCCGCTTCTAAATTCCCACCTTAAGCAGCAGGCACAGCCTTACACAGTAAAATCAAGGAAGATGAGGTTTTTCTCCCTATGCACTTTTAAGGCCAGCAGCTACTTTCAACTTTACCTCCCTTATTTTGTAGTCAATGATATTTCACAGTTTGTCTTTGTAATTGGACTTCAGCCAGTTCATCATCTGACTGATGGAAAGACAGCAGGAAACAGATGTCACAGTTTTTCCTTTGCTGGTTTTTCAAATTAAAAATCTGCCTTTTCAATTAAAAAAAAACAATTTAAAAAATCTCATCCTAAGCCATTGGGCTCCAGTCCTCTGATGATGGTTAACTTAGCCAAAAGTTGATTTATACCTCTTGACACCTACACTCGTGACTCTCCAAGAAAGGCGTGGAAAAAAAACCCAGAACGTAAGGAGGATGCAGAAGTTAGCTGATGAAAATGAACGTAAAAGCCTTCACAGTCGGTTCGCACACAGCATCTTAGGGAGCAGAAGGTATGAGACCAAAACCATGTTCTGGTAGCATCACTTGATAGGCAAGAGCACTGGAGTGGAGCACAAGCAGAGAGCTATTGCTGACAGGGAGGAAAATAAGGGGTTTTTTTACTTATACATTGTCCAGGTGTACAGCTGAGATGCTACCGCCAGAGACCATCAGACTGATGAATACCAGCTGCAAACAAGAACCAAATCAGACAAAAAATGCAGATCTTAAGTGGACAAGGAGGTAAAATACACAACTTTTATGTGGAAGACAAGTTGTGAATTTATCCTCTTAACAGCAGGAACAATCAAAATACTAGACTGTAAATCTTGGAGGTGATTATTTTGCATGCCAGGTGCTGCAGAGTCATTAAAAATCATGCTCTGTTGCAAAGGACAAAATAGCAAGCCTTTCCCAGTGCAGTGCTGGAGTGACCAGGTACTGAGTGCTTTGTATGATCCTTGAAGAACTGGCACATAGCTTGGCTGTGCTTCTTAGGAGCAGAGTACCAGCTGAAGCATGATTGATTTTTTTCTATTTGTTTTTGAAACACAACAAATTTATCATGTGCCTGATATGACAGCTGCTGTGTACAGCGTGGTGGGTGTGTTAGCTGCATTCAGCACTGCTGGCCTGGTTTCCAGTGCTCTACAGCAGCTTGTGGCCAAGCGATGGAAAGGCTCTGCCACGTGCTTTGGCTGAAATGGCAGTTTGAAGACTTGCCCACATTTTGCTTCACAAGCACGTCTAATCATTTCATTGAGGGTACACAGATAACTCAAAGCAATGTGGTTTCCCACATATCCCTAGAAGCAGTTGCAGTTTGTTTTGCTGAGGGGGATGGGCCAAACTTTAACTGCTGTGCAAGTTCGACTCTACTATTTTTCATCTCCTTGTTAAAGTGGGAATGAAGCTGGAGGAAGACAAGCAGTTGGCAGGAATCACAAATGCTAGAAGCTCGTAGCCCATGTGCCGCACGCTGTATCACAAGCCCTACTGAACCACATCAGCAGCCCTTGTTCTTTCCCAACAATACCCACTGTAACTGCAAGAAACACTGCCTGGCTGACAGCAGCCGCAGTAAGAAACCAGCTGGTGAAGGCTGTCCTCCTCCTTGAGGGGCAAAGCACCATCAGGCCCTTCAAGAGGCACAGTCTAATTCATATGCATCTTTAATATGAGCAGTTCTGCCCTAATCCCACCAGGAATTGCCCGCAGGACCCTCCCATGCTTCCCAGCTTTCAGCCAGCCTGACTCACCCAGGTCGTTGTTACTCATCATGGCATTGGAGGCGCGAAGCCGGGGACCTTGCTGAGTGAAATGGTACCCGAATTTCAGTAGGGAGGTGTTCTTTTCCAATATATTTGCAATTTCCATTTCTACTTTGTTGCCCAAGGGCTGACTCTTTTGAAAACAGAAAACAGAAAAGCAAACAGTTCAGGCTAGAGGGTGATTCGGAGCAAGCACTTAGAGGGAAGGGGTGGAGATTGCAGATCTTTCTCTGGACTTGTGTCCATTTCTGACTTGGAGCTGGTGAAACAGGCTGCTGGCCTGTTCCTGTACACATGCTACAACTGAGAGGCTCCAGCTCCTCCAGCAGACATTCCCACAAGTCCTTTTGCCCAAAGACTTTATTTCTTGGACAGATTAGCAGCTGCTGGACATGTGTAGAAACCAGGATTCTGGTCTCTCAATCAGTCAGCTGTCTCTGAGTTGCCCATAGCGCAGCTGCCTCAAGCTGTGGGTTTCTCAGGGAGCTGTGCTTGCCCCAGGCTCTGTGTCACACACACACTGTGTCAGGCTCCCCAGAGCAGAGCTGCCACCCATGCTCGCTTCACCTGGTTGTCGATGCGCAGCTCCACGAGCGACGTGTTGCCCTCGAGCGCTTCGACGATAGCCAGGATCCCAGACCCAGAAATGAAGTTTGACTCCACATTCAGGCTCTTCAGTGTGCTATTGACCTTCAACATTTCTGCCAGGGCCTGTGGACAGAGGTGGGCAGGAGGAGCTGGCAGTCAGACCGGAGGGGCAGAGCATCACAGGGCAGCAGAGCTTCAGCCCCCCTCAACTCCAGAGTACTCCTGGAGCATCCTACACGCTGTGCAGTTTCACTGCCACCAGGTGGAAGTGCTCTCTGTGGAGTGAAGGGGGCTCCCTCCTGCTGCAGGGGGATGCTTGAACATGGGCCTGCTGGAGGCCACAGCAAAACCTCGCATGGACAGCACTTGGGGCTACCCCAAAAGGTGACAGTCCATACCTTGCAGCTGCCCAGTGACAGCTTCATCTGTCCCTCCTCTCAAGCCAGCATGGTATGACAAGGATGCTGACCAGCATTGGCCCTCCCTGCACTGCACAGGGTTGAGATGCTTCCCATTAAAACATGCAGAGAGAGGAGCATCTGTCTTGAACAAGGGATCTCCACATCCAAAGTGTCCTCCCAAGCAGCCATATTAATCATTTTTGCTTCCTTAGTGGGTAAGACCAGAAATGGCTGGAATGCTAGTAACACCCCAGACCTGATCAGATCATGTCACTTCAAATAAACTGCAAGGGAGGTTTCACCTACGTGAAGCTGAAGGACCAGAAGGTGATGCCCACGTGTCAGGGCTAATCTGCACCCACAGCACTTAGCCCCACAGCTTCCCCAGCCCAGCACAGCACCCTCAAGCTCTGACACAGCACCTGTCCTGCCTGCACAGGCAGTCTCCCCAGTCCAGAGTGCCTGAACTCATTTAGGAGCAGTATTGCCCTCCAGAGAATTTCTTTCTCTAGCAGGAAACTGGTGTGTGTGTGTGTGTGTGTGTGTGTGTGGAGGTAGGCAGGGGTAACCTGGGTGACCAAGAGCAAAAACTGACTGCAATGGTGCTGGAGAAGGATGCAAAGATGCAGCCCGCAAGGCAGCAGGAAGGCCAGGCAGAATGACTGGCTCCTCCCTGTGTCCCCACTGATATTTAAGATCACTCACAGCAGCCAGAAAGACCCCTTATCACCTACAGAGGCCACACATTAGGGGATGCAGAGTCCTGCTTCTGCACACATCTGTGCAAAGAACACATGAGAGACAGCTGGAACAGACGTGTGTGAGGGGAGCAGCAGGTGTGCACACCTTTGTACCAACAGAAACAAATCTCCAGAGACAAACTGCTTTTAGAAGATGCCACGAGGACATCAGTTGTTGTCTTATGCTCCTTTTCCAGGAGATCCTAGAGGAGAAATACAGGACTGCATGGTTAAAGGACTGAGACCTCCATAGATGAAAAATGAAGTGAAGGAACCAAAGCCTGTCTGTTGCTGGCTAATGCTCCTGAAACTGAATTACTAGCAAACAGCCAGAGGTGTGGAATGTGCCAAACACAACACAAGGTGCAGAAGCAGTCAGTCAATAAGGCCGAAAATACCTTGCCTGGGAACAGTTCCTGTCACAGCACTGGGACAATGAGCTCGCAGTACTTACAAAAGCAACAGGGTCGTTGCTCCGGGTCCCAACTATGCTGAACTTCTTCACATATGCGTTGTTTTTCAGCGCTTCTGCAAAAGCTTTTAGAGTTGGTATAGGAATATTCTGTGACAAGAAATGCAGAAATCATGTGTTAGGCCATCATCTGTATGCAATGAATATGCAATACATGTAAAAGATTCTCATCAAGGTCAAATCACCAAATGCACTGAAGTAATTCGGGAAGGGGTTGAAAAATGTTTTCACAAGTTTTCACTCTTGCTTATAACCAGCATGTTCTAAGGAGCATGGCAATGTCTTCATCCTATTTTGTGCTCTGCTAAAAGTTCACTGACTTGATTTGAGCCACATCTCTGCTCTTTAGTTGCCCAGAAACTCAGCTACCTAGGAACATGGGCATTGTGGGGATGCCTGTAACCAGGATCCGTGAGCCTACAGAGCACTGCTCCTGTGCTCTCTGGTAGGAATGGCAGCACTGAGAAACATTCATGTCACGTTCAGAAAATTTCCACCTACAGGAACTGATCCAGAAAGGCCTGAAATTATCTCCTCATAACACAAATCACAGACACCTCTGACTGCTTTATACAACACCTTACAGGCTATGTCTCAGCCCAGAAAAAAATCCATGCTGCTTTTTCTGAGTTCCTTCAAAATCAGTATTTTTCACTTATGAAGAAGAACTTTAGATACCCCTTTCAGATGTTCAAATTTTCACTAAAATTGTAAGTGGCATCCTCACATTGGATTTCTTGCCACACCATTTGATCCCACCATGTGGAATCATCTATACTCAAAGTCATCTACAGAGCCATAATACAGCACCCAGAAGCACAGCATCTCCACTGTCACTCCCCAGTTCTCCAAACCCCATCCCAAAGTCGTGAGTTCAACACACAAAAATAGTGCCTGCCTGCCCAATCCTTAGCCCTATGTCCTCAAGGGATGAGGTCACTAGCCCAAATCAAATAGTAAAAACAAAATAAAAATATTTTTGTTTTAGAAAGGTGTGGATAGCACAGCAAAAATGTCTTTGATGTGCACGAGCAGTTAACCGTGTTCTTGCTGTTTAGCTATGTCATCATTTAACAGACCCCTTAAAATAGAAGCTGTATTTTTTAGAGTATGTATGTGTCCCAAAGGCAACATAAGAAGTGGTGCTATGTCCTGACTTGCTTTCTACAAGAAGCAAAAGAGTCCACAGAAGGGATGATTGGATGATAGACAGAGTCACCTGCGTCAAGGGTGACTTCTTCATATTTTTATGGCATTTTTATGGATTGTGAAAGCTTTTTCCTCCCGCCATCTTATAATACACATCAACATTCCCTCCCCCAAATATGCCTAAGTCATTAAAGCAACCTAAAATGGCTTTAACCAGACAGCCAGTTTTGCGTGTCCCCAGACCACCCTTCACACAGCTCCGTTTTTCCAGGCACTTAGAGGGATCCTCCTGCTACCAACCCAGGCCTTTGTCCCACAGCAGGTAACAATCCATTCTGCTGCCCACAATGGAGAAAGGAAGCACTGGTGTTTCTTGTCTGGCTACATTCAGTGTGATGATACTGCTCTGTGCAGCAAAACAGTGCCTGCCTTCTGGGCATCAGAGTCTTGTTACTAGGAGAGGAGGGTAGAAAGGAACAAATACCATAATATTGTTAAGGTTGACTTCTTCCAGGTCAGGATCATTGCTTTGTATTCGTTTCAGGGTTTCCTCCACATCTGTTGAGTTTGGCTCCTCATCAGGAACTGGTTTGTACTGTGTGGGCTTAATTACACCTGCGAGTGAAAAGTGAGATGTGAAAATGGAAGCAGCCTGAGTAGCACTATCTTTTCTTTGAGTGTTTTCCTCCTCTTCCAGAAGACAGATGGAAGCATGACCTGACAAGCAGCCATGAGATGAGAAGCCACTCCACTGGGGCCCTGCAGCCCAGGTCAGCCCGTGCCTGCTGCTGTTGGTGTCCAGATGTGAGTGACACAAGGCACACTGCCTGCACAAGGCTGTCCCTTGGGTGGCACCGGGGAGGTGGCTGAGATCCCACTGCTGGCACAGGGCAGGGATGCACCAGAGATGGCCCCAGCCATCACAGGCTGCTCTGACATGCACAGCTTTACCCTTCAGCCTAAAAATAATCATCACTGCCTCCGCTGGCAGCTTCAAAGCCCAATACTGCTAATGTGAATCACTTACTGTTGAGGCCTTCTTTGTTCACAATGGTGCTGCTCCCCAGTGCCTCATAGTACTGCTGGTTACTCATCAAGGTGTGCATGCCAAGGATGGCTACAGAAACAGGAGAACAGGACTTATTGTAGGCTCCAGAGCCAGGAAAAGACTCTACAGCACACTACCATTTCCTGTGCAAGCATAAAAAACATACAAAGGGAGGACAATGCCCCTTAGCTGACATTAATATACAACAGTGCTCCAAATATACAACAGTGCTCCAATGTGCTTGCTTTTTTATTCCAGTATAGCCTGAGCCACAGGAGAAGAGGAACATCCTCTCATGGACAACAAACATTCAAAGCTTCCCAGTAACCTACCTGACTCAGCATCACACAAAAGTAATGGGAAGAAGACAGTAAAAAACTCAGAAAAATGCCTTAGGTAGGCTTTAGTAAAAGAGGCCCAGTGCAGCAGGAGCCTGCACATCCTCATCACCCTTGCTCACTGGGCACATGCCACATAATTCCCCAGCCCCGTTTTGGAGAAGAGCTGTGCCCCACATGGAGCCAAACCGACCCCAAGGCAGCAAGGGAGTGACTGTCACTTGCAGCACAGCAGTGCACGTTGTGTTTTCACTCAACAGCAGGCTGGAGTGCTGCACTTGGTACGCTTGTACCTTTGGAAGGTGATGTTGCGAGAAGCTAAAGCTCAGCTCTCTTGGTCAAAATGTAGAGAGTGGTGCTATGAACACCTTCAAATGCTGTCAGAGCCTAAAAGCCAAACTCAGCCAATTTGTGTCTCTCAGACTCCAGACTGCAAAGCCAATATGCTAATGCAAATTAAACCATGTCTGGGGGCTCTGGTGAACTTCCTGCAAATGACATCCAAGAAATCAGTGGCTTAGGAACTTTTGAGCAAAGGGTTTGTTTTGAAAAGTAACCCTGCTACACACAGAAAGATCAAGTTGAAAACAAATTGATTTTTGATCAATAACTTTTTTTTTTTAAAAAGCTATATGACTTTTTAAAGAAAAATGCAGACACATGAATATTTGTTGAAACAGACACATCTGAACAAGTCTTGATCTCTGAATAGACACAGTTGTGAAAACAATACATTTCTCCCTAAAATCCAAGCATGCCACCACAAAGGCACTCTTTAGACGTGGTTGGCACCAGTGTGTCACCACGTTCTGTTGCTTTGGCCAAGAAGGGCTGGAATTTGCAGGAGAAAGGTATCCTTGAAGCCTAGCACAAGAATAGGATCTGTTATGGTGACATGCTGCAATGTGATGTCACGTTCCATCCGGTAATATTGGGATTTAATTCCAATAGTGACAGCTCATCGTGACTCTGGGTTGCACAGACTGGACAGCCAGAAGCAAAGTGTCCCAGTGAACTTCCCCATGGCCACCAGCACATCACCAACTGGATCTCACAGAGCCAAGCAGTCTCCATGTGAAAGTCTGAGTGAGGCTGGGCTTCAAGTGTGATTGTTTGTATTTTAGCTCACCCTTTTCTCTGTCATTTTCTTGCAGATGGAATTTTCATGGGTGCAACACAGGTTGGAAAAGGAATTTTCAGGCTCAGCATTTTGGTAACTCAGACAATCCCCCAGTCACAGCTTATTTGGACAATGAAATCTCTCCAGCAGCCAGGAGTGTGAGTATCTGGACTGCAGAGGGAGGTAAGCATCTGCTGTCACAACCATGCATTTTGGGGGCTCAAGTTTGTGTTGTTAGACAAGAGGGACCCACTCTTTCTAAGTCTGGTGCTTATGGTGTGTTCTCCACAGGAACTCAGGCCGAACAAAGGCACCCCATTTCTGTCTCCCTCACCTGACCAAAGGCATGGGAGCCCTTCCAGGGCTACTGGGAGCCCCACTCCTGGCCTTGCCAAGGAAGGGATCCAACACACCGCAGCTCACAATGGTCCCTGCTAAACAGGCAGGAGCAAAATGAGCTCCTGCTAAATGAATCCTGCTAAGCAGGCAGGAGCAAGGCTGTCACTGTCAATATTGAGATTCCAGAACAGTTTGTATCACATCAGTACTCCTGCTCCCACTTAAGTGTATGCTCCCAGCAACTGTAGAACAAGCTGCCCTGAAGAGCTTTTCCATGGGACAATAATTGCTACACAGATCTGTAGCTTAGAAAGGCCGATTTTATAGGATAGAGCTTTACACGACTCAAGAATCAACAGCAAAAAAAGTTAAATCCAGGGATGCAATGCTTGGCCAGGGTACATATGTTTGGGAGCCTTAATGCAGAAACACATTTCTAAGCCAGAAGACGGTATTATTATGTAGAAGATGTCTAGTTGGTGCAGCTGCTCTACAGACTTTGTAAGTCTTACAGGCTTCCAGCAAGGACACTGCTAGGGAGTATGGAAACCTAAAGAGACAAAACTGGAAGAAGAAGCCAGTATCACTGAAATATACACTGACTGCTGGACCGGCAGAGCACATGTGAGCTTCATAAGGCATCATGGAGTGTCCATGTGTTCCTTTGGCCAAGGCAGGCCCTATCCCAAGCACAGAGCTAAGTCCACACTGTGGCCTTCAACAAGATACCAGTATTGTCATCTGACTGTCTGACCACACAAATCACAACAAACCCACTGCTTAAAATGTGTTGAAAAAGCTCCTTAACAAAGACCAGGCCTGAGTGACCACTGAAAGACTTCTACAACCTGGCAGATCCTTTACCAGGTTGCACAAGAAATCCACTGGGTCCGCTTGATTGTTTCCTAAGATTTGGTTTGAAGAAAGTTTTGCTCTTGAATGTACAGCCTGGAATTAGCAACAGTCAGTGATAGAGACAAAGGAAGAGATCAAACCACACACTGTTCCATACATAAACCCTTCTTCTTCCTCCTCATCTTTGGTCCCCACTCTTGATTAAATCACACAGGCTTAGAGTAATTTTTTAACAAATAAATGAATTCTGTCAGAACTGACAGTGTTTAGAGAAACAGCAAAAAGTGCAATAACTCATTTCCCACAAAAGAACAAAATAACCCCTAGAACTTGAACAACATTCACCCCTGATTACTGAGAAATTATTTTACCAGCAATGTCACAGAGTTCTGCATCAGAGGCATTAGCAAGGGCTTCCTCCAGTTCCGGCTCCAGAGTCACACTTTCCAAAACAGGATCCATCGGCTTCTGCTTGGGAATCCAAGCTTTTCCTATGAATGCAAAATGAGGTCACTCTCGGTATAAGCTACAGCACCCAGTCCACAGCTACCCTTGCAGATGCATTTCCATGCTGTGAGATTTGAAAAGTAGAAAGGACAGAGGGAGTACAAGAGAAAAATCATAGGAGAAACTGAATCCCTTTCCATCAGCTTGGTCTGAGTCCTGCTGCCCTGTGAAGGGGGAGGCCATGGGCAGCTGCAGAGCTCAGCCCTTTCAGCAGCACGGCACCCACGGAAACCCAGCAGCACACTGGAGCAGGATCACGGCTGTTCATAGCCCAGCACTCGGAAAGGCATGCACAGCCTGACCCTCACCTCTCTGAAGGCTGCACAAAAGGGGTGAAGGTTTGCCAGCACTCAAGAGAAGCTTGTCCCAGCGCTGGGCTGGATCAGTCCTGCCACCAAGACACCTCTTGCTGTTGTGCATGTTGGCAAGGCAGATGGCACATTAGTTACAAGAGGGTGGAAAGGAGGTGGTGGAAAGCTCTGGGAGCAAGTAGAGACAGCACTTAGTGAACATATGGGATGCAAGGAGGAGCAGGCTTAGGGCAGCTGGTCTAGCTCAACCCTATTGCAAAGAACATGCCAGATGGAGTCCCTGTGCTTTATCTCTCTGGGCTGCAGGAGGCCACAAAACAGACCTATTCCCTGCAACTCAAAGGTGCAAATCCACAGGTCCAGCTGGTAATGCAAGATTGTCATCTTAGCTGCTTGCCCATGGCCTTTTCCTGAGGGGGGTGCCCCCATAGACAGGAGGCTGGAGCTTTGGACGCAGTGGGCTCCCTGCCAGCCCCCATCCCACTGCTTGTGGCGCCCTCTGGACAAGCCACAGCGCCTTCTCTGCTGGGGCTGGCTGCATCCCAGGAGGAATGGGGCAGCAGACAGGGCTGGAGATGGCCCTGCCCAGCTGCTCCCAGCTCCTTGCTGCTCATGCTGCAATGGGCAGGAGATCCTTCTCGGAGAGGGAATGGGTCAGGTCTGGGATTTCTCAACATGGCATACACCTGTGACAGCCAAAAGAAAAGAGAGAGGCTTGTGATGCTTTAAGACTCCACAGCAGGGAGCAGTCTGCTGGGTAAATCCAGCATTGCTGGGACAGGTGCAGGAGGGCTCTGGGAATATTTTGGAGCAGTCCCCTCCCCTAAAATAGTCCTGGATCAGTGCAGAGATAGTGACTGCAAAAGGCCTGGCCCAGCATGCCAGTCAGGACTATTTTTGTCACCTCTCTGAAACCAGAGTCAGTGACACCAAAAGGGAGAAACAGTCCTGCTGCTCAGGGATATGCAGAAAGGGGCTAAATTTAGACTCAAGGAAGAAGCAACTGCACCTCAGGGTCCCCTGGGACAAAATGGAGGCTGCCACAAAGAGCCTTTTGTTCCTATCCTCTGCCTGCACATTGCTGCTCTGACAGAGAGAGCAGGAATCTGCCTCCTGAGACACAGCTGCTCTTGCAAAAATAGGCAGAGTGTCACGTGCCTGCACAGCCAGGCACCTTCTGGGTACTAAGCAGCAAAATGTCTGCCCTGGCTTGGTGTGGAGATCTGAAACCCCTGTCCCACCAGATGCATGGCTGGGCAAACTGTATGTACCCTCTGGTCAGTGCAACACCAGCAGGGAACAAGAGAAACAGAGCAAACTTAATTCTGCTGTCATGCAGTAACTCCTTCTGACACCTCAGTGACACCAGAATTTCTGGGGTTTAATTCTATTTTAATTTTAATTACCTAATTTCAGTCAATTTCTAAGTTTTAGAAAGTTTTGTATCTCAGTGGTGCTTCGTTACAAGACTGAACTTTAAATTAAACAGTGCATGCAAGATGACAACGCATGACATTTTATGTCGCAGTGTGCCAGGGACTGCACCTCCCATGGCCAACTAATAAATCACCCTCCAAACTTCAAACGTGGTGACTTATTTACAGCTTCATCATAGCTGTGGATATGTAATTTGCCATTTCTGGCTCACAGTTAATATAAGTCGTTTCTTCTCTCAACAGCGTGTTACAAATGAAAATACGCTTCATGCTTTTAAATTCTCAACAGACTGAAGTATGATGCTGGAGACTCAAAATGCTTGAAATACCTCTGTCTCCTGCAGAACACTGCTTCTACCTTTTAGGCTTGCCAGGTGGGTAAGCAACACTGGACTGGGGCACATCTGAAAGGTATCAAACCAGTCTTCCTGACAGTACTCAATTTACTCATTTACTTCTCTCAAGCACTACTTTAAAAAAAAAAATTAAATCTAAAAATACTGCCTCAGGTTTTGTTAAATGAACAGATTTTACACAAGCTCTTTTTAAGGCAGCCATGTTGGTCAGTAAGGAGGCACCTTTCAGAAAGACCCCCCAGGAAACATGTTGATATGCCCATATTTTCATGCATTATTTTTTCACACTGGACAACCAGATCTTCTGCTGCAGGGGAATCACGGTTCAGAGGGAGACACAACAGCTGAGAGAAGTTACTGAGAAGCTTCTGGAATGCAGAGGCAAGGACTGACCAGACCATGTTCCTTGTTAGATGATATTTGGAGTTCTAATGGGAGCAGGGAAGTCACTTGGATAATGAGTCGTATACAAGGAGAACAGCAAAAGATGCCAGAAGGAGAAGAAAAGCAAAGAGGCAGAGAAAAGCCCTGCTCACAGGCCTCAGGGCCATGCAGAGCAGGAGTGCAGCAGCCACTGCAGGGTATGGTGCAGGAAGACACAAACCTGCAGGAGACTGGCAAATAAGGCTGGAGTTGTCAAGAGATTATGAAAACTAGATGGGAACTGCTGGGCCTCATCACAGCTGCAGAGAGCTGTGGAGTTTCTCTACGGTGAGAAGCTCACAGAGTCAAAATGGAGAGTGAAAGGCAACAGTGAAACATGGAGCTTAACATGAGGAGCTCACAGAAGAACAGGGCAAGGAGGAACAGCAGAGAACAGAAGACAATTTCTTTCCAAGAACCTGATTCAGATGCATGGGGATGGGAGAAGGCTGCACAGTGGTACAACTTCTGTCCAGCACTTAACAACATATCAGGTGGTGCCCAAATCAGCCAGCACAGGGACCTCTTGGGCCCACCCCAGTTTATCAGCCAGCCTGGGCTGGGGCTAGGCAGCAGGGAGAGCAGATTCACCACCCCAGTAGTGTCAAGAAGAAGTTTTATTTACACAGATCAGACATAACCCTTCTGCTGTGCACCCACTATGCCTTCATTGTGATACACCCAGCACAGTGCAGAGGATTACCATACCTCTCTTTTCACCTGTGAAAGGAACCAAGTCTTCTCGGTCTTTAATGTCCTTTGCCTGCTTTTCTAGGTGGGCCATGAGTTCCTCCCTTTTGAAGGGGCCAGTTGGTGGCTTTTGTGTCTGGTCCCGCTGCCTGAGGCCTGCTGGCAACAGTGCATTCTAGACATGGAGGTGAGAAACACAGGTTATCTCTGCAGGCCACAATCCCCGTCCATCAAACACTCTCCCCTCTGCACTCCCCTCACTGCACCACTCTTCTTCCACAGGGCTGGACAGTTTGCTTCTCCTTGTGTCAAAGGTTATCTTCATCCAGCCCCACTCATTCCCACATCATCCAAGATACGTGATACTCCTTTCCCCCTTCAGTTTCAAATGCTGCCCAGTAGAGGTTTCTCTGCAACATCAGCTCCAGCCCTTTCTTTCTGGAATCTCTCAGCCACCTTCTACCCACTATATGAGTCTGTGCAGGTGCCCCCAGTGCTCCATGTGTCCCAAAAAGAATCAGTTCAGTTAAATCTCATGATCTTTCACAGAGCAGATCAGAGTTGTGGTGGTCTCTTCTGCCTTTTAGGATTCATCACAAAACTACAGAGAGGGTCTCACAGAGAAGATCACTCGGTTGCAGAGCAAAACCCCTGTGAACCCCAGGTTTTTTTCAAGCTGCCTCCTTGTTACTCAGTCACGTAAGCCTCCACGGGAAGTTGGTTTGTGCTTGACACATATGGCACGTAAACACCTGCTTATATTTAAATATAGAACAGCCTTAATGCAGTAAGTAAGACTATTCCCAGATTTGACACTAAGCATGTTCTTTAAAGCTTTACTGGATAGAAGTCAACATTTACTTTTTAAGACATCCAAGGTGATGCTGAACAACACGCTATGATTTTTCCATGCCTGCCTGATAAAAGTACTTCATTATAATTTATGTCTGTATCAGTAAAAAGCCTGGGAAGGAAAATTACTAACAGGAAGCAGTTGGAATCGAGCAACCCTGGAGGGCAAGAGAAGCGTGTGAATTGCACAAGCAGGGAGGCATAGGAGACAGCTTGCTTCCACAGACTTCATGTCGTGCAAAGCAACAATGCAATCTTCAAGCAGAATACACCTGCACTGACAGATGTCCATAATTATTTTACCTTTCTTCATCTTTCACAGAATGCTGCCTCACCCCGTGTCTTCTGAGGTAGCTGTTACCAGCCCATGAGCCCATACACTTAATCCCAGGAGCCAGCTTGCCAGCTCTCAAATATTTTCCTGCATTACAATTAAAAATACTGATGATGCAATCTACAGCACCCATCGTTTACTCCAGAAACACTAACTGCATGTTGCAGGAACAATTTCTCACTTGGCAGTGCCCGAGCTCCTCGAGTAACATTGGCGTACACCAGAGGCCAGCCAGTTGGCTCTGCACATCCCCTGCAACGGGGCAGTGCTGCTCCAAAAACCTTTCACCAGCTTGGCTCCAGCAGCCCCCATGTTTGCATATGTGCAGCTCCTGCTGATGCTAGGAGGTTGCTAAAAATAAACTGTCCCACTTTGCAAAACTCCAGGATTTGGATTTCTGCCTAAATGGATGAAAATATAGGCATTTGAAGTTTGTTACAAAAACCTCAAACCCAAAACACCAAAAAAACCCCAGAAAACCCTCAAACCAAGCAACCTGCAAAGCATTCCCTCCAAGGTGGCCTGCTTAGAAACAGAGATCCATTTTCCACAGGATTACTGCACTGCACCAGCCCTGGCTCATATTGCCGTGGCAAGTCACAGATGCTCATCACGTTGGGAAAAGGACAGAAAAACAGAAAAAAAGATACACATGTAGACTGTGCTTCCAACATCAAAAAATTCTTCTGTGTATCTGCATCCAGTGTCTTCTACTCTTGCTCCAAGTACAGGCTCTGCAAAGGATCCCACTGAAATACAGATTACTAATGCAGCCCACTCCCCCACAATTACTAAGATTCACAACCTAACATCTCAATTAAAAATTACTTACATCAGGATCCAGCTCTTCCAGTTCATTCTCTAACTTCCTGAGCTCCTCCTCTGTCAGAGCTCCAAGGATCTGATCTTCATCCAGGTCTCGGTATTTTTCTAGCTCCTTTCTGTAAGACATCTTAGAGGAGTCTCGTGGATCTCACTTCTATGCTGTGACAGAACCTGATATGAAAACAAGACATGTTAGCACTGAACACATGAAACATGATGCTGCAGCCTGCCTGGCTGGGGAGCACTGAACACTCCAGAGTTGGAGATTTGTGCTTAAAGCAAACTGATTTCAAAAGATTGCTCAGAGCCCCCCTTTCATATCCCACACACAGATGATCACCCAGGGAGGAGAGAGCAGCGCAGCTCCGGTAGCACACGGCCCCACCACGGATCCAGGGGACAGGACTAAGGAAGTTCTTGGTACAGGATCCTGGCTAGGGATGTCTTTCTGCAAGCAGTGCTAGATGTTAATGAAGCATCCTGGGCACTTATTTCTTTGAAGGACAATAAACTATAAGTCATGAAGCATTCAGCTCTCACTCATGTCCTTACAAGCCCCCAGTAACACTGCCCTGTACATGGCATTCCAGATAACATTGCTACTGGAGGGGAAAACAGATTTGTAGCACCACTGAGTACCTCTGAGCCCTGAAACCTCCACGAGGCTACAGTGCATGGCACTTCTTCCTGTATTTTAAAGCCGCAAGGAGATCAGGAAGTATTATCCACTCTGGTTCAGGAGGCTGCCAGTTAAATGTGCTATTTAGTGACCCACCTTTCCTTGGACAGCACATGTTTGCCCTGCTGCCAGCTAAGCAGCTGACCTGCGTGCTACTGCACGTTCTACACCAACCCTGCAAGAAGAGAAGTGAATGGTCTATCAGGACAATCCCTGCTGACCCCAAGGTTTGGCCCATGTCTCCTAATACAATGTGCCATACACAACCATATGCATGTAACTGGACCTCTGCAAGCAAAAAGACAGCAGAGGAAAAGGTACAATGTATTGAAAACATGCAGGTGGGTTAAAAGTACAGTCAGCATAACACACAAAAGCATATCCAACTCTGCTCTTTTGCTGACAGTCTCCTTCTGCTCCACAGCACTGCCTGTACATTTACTTTTTTTTTTGGCTCTGTTTTTGCAGAGAATATCAAGTCCTAGATAATTTAAAGTAACTTTTCTTAAAGTGTTGCTATTCTTTTATGTGACATTTACGTTAAAAATAGCAGCAAGGCCTGTGTATTTTTTAGGGAGCCAAACATCTTTTGAGTTTCTATAAATGGTCTCTTTTCAGCTCCTGTGGAACATCAGAGCCCTACCCTGAATCACATCTTCCAGCTTTGCTTGTCCCCTCCAGACAGATTATGCTCTTATGATCACTCTTCATTAGTGGAGAAGTTTCTTTATGCAAGTTACAACACAGCTGCTGTTCCAGATAGGAAAATTATCTTTAGCTTGGTCACAAAAGGGCACAGTAATGCACACATGCTTGCTCAACAGCAAGCCCTTAAATTTAGAAGCTGTCATCTTGTCAGACGTTTGGTTCCCCACTAGTGTGATGGCAATTCCTGCATCACTCACATTCCTGCCACTCGGCACTTAGGAAGCGCGAGGAGATGGTACCTTCTGGATGGGAGAAACAGCCCCTGAAAGTCCCTCAGTTTCTCTGGGAACTGAGAGGGTGAAAATCACCTTTCACTGGGCTGGTTTGCTCCAAGGAGCAGCCATCAGCCTGTAGGCACCGGAGCCAAGGACAGCCAGGAGGGTGGATGGAATCAGGAGCGGTGTGGCACAGTGGGTCTGGCTGAGTGGGGGAAGGAACACCACAGCCCTGTGCTTCACCAGCTCCCTACAGCCCTCAGTGCAGGGCTCCCTGTACTGCGAGGCTGGCAGGCAGCAGCCACACACCAGCCAGCCTACGAGCCGTGTCCCCAGCTCAGCCCCTGCAAGCACAGAGAAGGGCACAGCCTTTACTGCAGTTGCCCATGAACACTGAGGCAGGAAATCCTAGAATAGCAGCCTGGACTAGGATCTGGATATGTGCTGTGCTACTGCAGCCTTAGATAGCAGGGCATGAGCCACCACCAGCCCGGATTTCATATGCCATATGTAGTTTTGACCATTCTGCCATGGAAGGAGCTGGAACTAGGAGCAAGGAGAAAGGCAGGAGCAAGGAGAAATAACCCACCCCAGGCTGCTAAATTCCCTAAAATGGCTTAAAATACCCACACCTGCCACACAGAGAGCAATATCTTTCTACACGAGGACAACTATTCCCAGAGGCAGCCACAGACCATTCCCAGGAATGCAGGCAAGGCTGCAAGCAGGGGCCTGTCTGGGAGCAGAGTGCAGCCCCGCAGGGTGACCTTGTTGCCTCCCTCCAGAAGGACAGCGGTGTCAGCACTGAGAGGCAGGACAGACACTGGATGTCAGTGCACACAGGCAACGCTTCTGGAAAACGCCTCAGGTTTCAAAGCATCTTGCAGAGATATGAAGCCAAGACTGCATATAGAAAAGGCCCTGAGGGCTGAAGACAGGTGCAGAGCCTGCTGAAGCACAGCTGAAATCCCCGTGGAGAGAATTTAATTTCCTGCGTATCCCAAAGAGAAGTGTCAGGGGGCACAGTGCCTTCCCAGACTGCTGGTGCAGCCGGACGGTGCCGGCACCTCGCACATTTCCCATGGAGAGCACGCTGAGAGGGCTGCTCATGGAGAGGAGCAGCCTTGCCCGTGGCAGCGGGACATTCTGTACCGCTCCCCTGCCCGCAGGACCAGCTGCTCAGCTCCGTCTCCTCCTGCACAGCCGCCAGGACCTGTGTGTTCGCTGGCGCTCCCTTATCTCCACATCCCAGGCCTCTTCTAACCTATCTTGCTAATGAGTGCTGGGAGAAAAACCAAACCAGCCCACATGCTGTAAATGGAAGAGGGCTTTGAACTGCCAGTGATAAGAAAGCAGGTAAATTCTGCCTAAGTGAAATTGTTTTCGTTTGTACAGAGTACAACCCACCACTACAAAACGATTCTCCCTGACTTGTGCCAGAGTACAAGCATGGTTTAACACAGGTTCCACCTTCACCTCGGCTCAAACTAAACAAGAAGATCCTTCAGTACAACTTGAGTTCTCACTCTTTTTCATTAACCCTATCACTCTTCATTCAGTCAGCTAAGGAAGGCATCACAAAATAATACAAGTGCAATATACACATACTGAACAGAACTGACACTGTTGCAACTTTAGGTCCTCAAAAAATTGAAATTCATATAGATTACAAAGATAGCAAGACATTAAGCCTCTTTGTTCAAAGTACTTGTCAGTCACACTGGAAGACAGTCCAAGCACTTGCACTTAATAAGTCAGAGCAGCACATAGGCTGGAATGCACAACAATCATTAAAACTATTAAAGGAGAAAAATTGAATTCGCTGGGAGATAATAAAAGGTCATCTACAGGAAAGACTGTTCTCATCATGAATATGGGAACACAAAACCAAACCAAACAAAACAACATTGCTGATCATGAAGGGGATAGAACAGTTCCCTTCCGAAGGGTTCAAAATGCTGGGCAAACAAATGGATGCTGAAAATAAGTGAAAATGAAAAGCATCCTGTACAACACTGGAAATAATCCTTTCACAGTGCTTTGCACTGGTACAGCCCCCTGCAGCACCATGACCTTTTTGGGGTGCTGAAACCTGAGAGCAGCACTGACATCTGCACAGGGAAGCGGTGGAAATCCATCCAGGAAAGCGGCCCACGTGGCCCACAGCTTCACCACCATCCGAGGGCACGCATCAATCAGTGCTTGGCTGTGCTCCTCAGGTGGACGAGAGGGAGGGCAGAAGCAGGGCAGCACTGGGCTCAGGCTACAGCAGGGTCTGCTGGATTATCCCCCTGTGATCTGACAGCGCCAGGAAAAAGTGAGGATAGGGAGAACTGGGTAAAGTGACAGGAACAGCAGCAAGACAAATTTCAAGAAAACACAGAAATGTCACAGTGGAAGCCACACATGCTGTGTGAGGCCTGCTGTGTGTGACACACCTGGCGCACCCCTGGTGCACCCCACGACACACCTGGCACATGAAGTGTGACACACCTGGCGCACGCTGTGCCGGGCAGCCCAGCGCCTCCCCGCGCAACCTCCCGCATGTGCCAGCATGCCAGCAGCAGGACAGCACAGGACAGAAAGCACTGCCCTCCACCAAAACACAGGGAGGAGGAGCAGCTAAGCTCAGCCGGGGTGCGGGGCTTTCCAGGAATACATTCCATTGTCAGCCCAGCCAGCCCTGGCTCGGGGGTCTGCGCAGGCAGCACCGTGCCCAAGGCTTGGCCCGTGGGAGGGTTTGGGGCATCCCTGGCCACCACTGCACCCAACAACCACCAGAGGCAGAGGACAGGAGTTCTGCGTACTCTGCCACGCAATGAGAGCCATGTCCGAAAAAAATTAACATCCTCGCCCCAGACAGCCCATGAATCTACCACAAAACCTCTTCTGTGCTCTGAAATGTGAAAGCAGAGCATGGGGCTTGGGTTCTGGGATAAGGAGGTAGCCAAGCATGACCAGCATAGCAATTGATTCCTGAAAAAACTGCCAAGTTTGAAGACAGAAATCTTTTCAGGATGAAAGCTGTATTCAAGGAGCAGTGAAGGCAGGAATTCATATCATGAGGGATGGCTTGAAAACTGTTCCTGTTTGACTCACACGGGGTTTTGATTTATGAGATTTTTTTTTTACAGCTTAAGTATAAATCTGAGTCAAAGTTCAGAATTATTGTTTTGCAGTATAAAAATAACAAACCAATATCAACCATCCCCCCTATAGTTGCTACAATAATTTTATTTTCCTTTCCTTGCAGCATAACTTAAAAGATAAATGCTAGTGTCTGGGGTGTTTTTTGACGGAGTGTGAGTTTTTTGACCTCAAGTGACCATTTCCTATAAATTCAAGAGAAACCAGGTGCTTTCTGTGCATACACTTAAATCTCAGTGAGTCACCCAGGTGCAGATCCAAGATGCATGCTGTACGGATGAGAAGAACAAATAATCTCCAGCTTTTTTCTAAACCAAAACTGTGTTCTTATGTGGTCAGTCCTTATGTGGTGACAAACCTTAAAGCCAGTAGTGAACCTTAATGAAATCTCATGCAGGACTCAGACCCTTATTCCTTGGGAA